GTGTCAAGTTCAGGTCTGAATACAAAACACTGTAAAGCAACCAGGCATATAGGTCCCTGAAGTATAACAGGTTCAAACCGAGAATGCCGTGGATGATAGCACAAAGGCAAAAGAGAAAGGAAGATCCAGGGCCCATTCCGAAGGGAGGAGGGCAGGTCCCCTACGGAGGTAGGGAGCTCCAGGGAAGGACTTCAAAGGCGGCAGGGCAAGGCTCCGGGTAGGCACGCTGAGGGACTAATGTATAGTGCCTCACTGCTCCTCACCGCGGGCGGGCGGGGACGCGGCCAGCGAGCAGCCGCTGCCGCGCGGCAGATTGCACCACCAAGGCCAGAGCCAGGCGCGGGGCGGCGCTCGCAGCGGGAGCGGGGACGCGGACCTGAGAGACACAGCGGCCTAGCCCGGGTGCCCGGGCCATGGCGCCAGGAGAAGGGCCCGGCCCACAGCGCCCCAAGTCTCAGTTCTGCGAAACTCTCGGCCTCCAGCCTGTGCACTCGACGGGCTGCACGGAGTACGGCTCTTGGCAGCCATACGACCAAGACAGCCCGAGACACCGGCCACAGTCTACAGGAAGAGGAGGCACCACAGCCCATGGGCCGCGCCACAGCCGAAACCCGCCCTAGGCCCGGCCTCCTCGGGCGGAAGTGAGGCGATTGGCTCCGCCCCCTAGTCCCATACCTCGCGAGACTTCGCCAGGGCCTTCCTTTTCCATCTCGGCCGCCAACATGGTAGGTTATTCTTTCCGCGCTTCCTTTTTATTGCCGGCGTAGGACGGGAGCTCTACTCGGTCTGTACCCCGGCCACCTACCCCCAACCATAGCCGGGTCTTCCAGGTCGCGCATGGCGGGCCGCAGGGTAGGGGGCCGGCGTGGGCCCGTATCCCTGGATCGCGTGCTTGGCCTGGGCTTGGGACTCTCAGAGACACGCGGGCCCAGGCCTCTGGGCCGCGCCCGGATGAGGCCGCACGGCCCCCCGGCAATCCGGGAAGCTTCTCCCCCTTCCCCACCTTATCCCAAGCACCTTTTCCACACAGCCATCCAGACTGAGGAAGACCCGGAAACTTCGGGGCCACGTGAGCCACGGCCACGGCCGCATCGGTAAGTGCCGGCTTTCCATCCTGGTCGGCCTTGGGCTCTCCCTGCCCGGTGCTTAGCTAGCCAAGAGGTAAAGAGCTTGGAAGTGGGTTAATAAGAGCTTTGGGCAGTCGGATGGGATTGAGTCTGACCTTTTTCTTTGAGAATCCTTTAGTGCTTCAGTTACAGAAAATATCACATCAGTTGGGATGGAAATTGAACAGGGCGCAGTATTGGTTGAAGGCACGCAGTACTGTGGTAGTGCTGCGAATAGATGTTTAAGCCGGAACCTTGAAGGAATAGCAGTGCTGAAAGAGGTATTGTAGACTGGGGACAGCATGAGCAAACGCAGAGGCGTGGGGGAATGCTGTCGCGAGAAGTATTGGACTGGGGAGGGCTATGTTGGCCATGTAATTTTGTAATCCTGCAGGCAAGCACAGGAAGCACCCGGGAGGCCGAGGTAATGCTGGTGGTTTGCATCATCACAGGATCAACTTCGACAAATAGTGAGTGTTTCTTGGGCTGTATTTTACTGGCAGAGTTTTGGAGTTAAGAGTGGTAGGGGAGGCTGGCTCCCAGCATCTTGAATGGAAGCAAGCCTCTTCACCACCACAAACCTTGCCTGCTATTGTTGGCTTTTACCAAGTTAACACTTGATGTAAACAGAAAATTTGTCATCGAGGCTAGAGTCACGCTTGGGTATCTTGCTGTTGCCTTAGTGTGCTAGAGTTCTCGAAGAGCAACTGCTGGCCTTATTCACTGACTCTGGCCCCCCTGTGGCATAGTCAGTCACCAGGTTAGTGACATGAATCAGATTGACCTGTACAGCTCTTAGGTTCACTTATGCTCACAAATTAGGGGATAGTATTTTAACTCTTGTTTAAAAGATTTCTATTATTCAGTGACTTAACCTGGTTCCGTGAAATAAATCTAGTATTTTCCTTCTGAAAGTCTTTGGTGGGCTTTTATGAAGATTTATTTTATTCAACAAATGACTGGAGTATCTGTTATGTCACAGTTCTACAGACCTGTTAACAATTTACACTGTAATGGGGGAAGTGGGTTATAAAAATGGTAAGCATAGCTTCTTAATTGTAGTGAGGTTATGAAAGTGATTGCCTTCTCTTCCCAGTCACCCGGGTTACTTTGGGAAAGTTGGTATGAGGCATTTCCATTTAAAGAGGAATCAGAGTTTCTGCCCAACTGTCAACCTTGATAAACTGTGGACCTTGGTCAGTGAGCAGACACGGGTAAATGCTGCCAAAAACAAGACTGGAGCTGCTCCTATCATTGATGTGGTGCGATCGGTGAGTGAGTGAATATTTTTGCCTTTATATGGGTCCTTACCTCTCCTCAAAACTCTGAGTAATCTAATCAAGTAAACTTGATCTCTCACCTGATGTCTGTACCCAGTTTTTTATCGTTTGGAGTTTTGGTCCTTGTATGTCTTGACACCTCCCATAAGTGGTATAGAAGTAGTCTAAACCCTGAGGGGGCTCTCAGTTAAGTATTAAATTCCCCTTCCCAGCCTATTTACCATCCCTTGAGCTGAAAATTCAGATGGTGAAGACTTCTTGGAACATTGCTGGGAATGTGTTCTTCCTTTTTTGCTTATTAGATGGTAATTGAGTAGGAAAGGGGGGTGTTGTGCCTTGCCCGAGATTAGAGTCACATCCTGACAGTTGTTGTCCTGGTGTGCTAGAGTTCTCGGAGAGAATCTACTGGTCTTGATTCACTGGCGAGGGCCAGTCAGTGCCCCCGGGAGTGCCCAGATCAGAAACATACCCTCCCCAACTCCTGGATGGAATGGGTTGTCTGGTATCTTTCCTCATACCCATTAGGGAGTTGGTACCTGCCATACATAGTGTTATAACCCTTTTCTCTGTTCTTCTAGGGCTACTACAAAGTTCTGGGGAAGGGAAAGCTCCCAAAGCAGCCCGTCATTGTGAAGGCCAAATTCTTCAGCAGAAGAGCTGAGGAGAAGATTAAGGGTGTTGGTGGGGCCTGTGTCCTGGTAGCTTGAAGCTACATGGAGGGAAGTTCATTAAAATGTCCAGGGTGCTTTTGTCTTCTGGTCTGAGTGTAGGTTCGTTGACACCTCTACTTCCCTACCTGTGTTTCAAAAACCTCCCTAACAAGTTCTAGGAGTTAAGGATACCGGGGCCTGGGTTCCTCTGCCAACTCCCCTGAGAAGGGGTATGCAAGAGATAGCACCAACACTTAGAGAGGCCTTGGTCCGTTTACTGACTTGACGTTTTCATTTATAAAGTGATAGTGATACTTGTTGGTGACATGTACATGTGTGTAGATAAATGTAAAATAGCTGAAAGGCCTGTTTGTACTGTATACTCAGAATTTACAAGTGAAAGAATGTGTCCTTAACTGTTCCATGGGGCTCAAAAGGGGAGGCTGTTTTGATGGGGCATGGCCTTTAAACACCAGGGATTTTACATATCAAAGTGGTTTAGAGTATAGAAAGCAGTTGCCAGGATTTATGTATGGGTCCCTGTGCATAGGAGGGTTAATGTTCAAAGAAATATATCATGAAATGATAGCAGTTTTTCTTCTAGTCTGTAGTGTATTTAGTAAAGACATATGGAATATCCTAAAGGCCAGAAACTGAGTTTGTATATCCTGCCCAAAAATGACGACTGTACAGACAGGACCCTCCTTGATCCCAGGGTAAATTATAATTTGCTACAGTGTTCAGTGTTCTTTCAAAGATTTTGAAATCTCAACTCCAAATAAAACTTGCAGTCTAGAATCCTGGCCAAAGAAACAGTTAAGACAGCACTTAAACCTACTAAAACTCAGCTCCTAGGTTTGGTTTGGAGAGTTGTTTTCTTTAGTACTCTATGGATTCATACATGGGCTGGGAGCCATGGGTTTCTGTAGGACAAATCTGTCGTGATACCCTTTATATAATACTGGGGACTATCGAATAAAGGAAGCACCCTGGGGGGATGGGCTTGATTTAAATAATGGGAGTTAAGAGGTGTCAGTAAGGCTTTACTCAGTTGGACAAACTAATAACTGGATCGTTTTGATTTGCATCTTACATGATGGTGCTGAAGGATTAAAAGGTGAAGTGATGAGTTTTCCCTTAGTGTCGTCCTGAGAACTTACATGATATGGAAGTTAAGGCCATGGATCTAAAACAGGTCACTAGATAAAGAATTATATGACGGTTAAATGTTTGAGGCCTTACTTACACTGAAGATACAAAATTGTATGGAGTCTGAAATACAGATCCAAACCTAACAGCTGTGTGACTTAGGCTTAGTTCAATTTAGGTGAAGACACCTACTTGAGGATCATGGGGGTTAAGTGGAAAGCATTTATTAAAACTTGTTGACTCAGTAACAATTATGTACTTGAATTATGGGAGTACATGAGAAGTCAATTAACCTCAGTGTGATTCAATTAATGGAAAAGTGGTCCAAGCAGAGGGAAGAACAAACATGCATTTAGGAAACCAATATGGAAAGGTTAGGCAAATTACTTATGTAGGAGATGAGCCTGGAGAGACTAGGGACGGCTACAGTGGAAGGGTGGAGGCCAGGACCAAGAAAAGGAGTAGGATTCAGGAGACAGGATGGGCAGGACAGGATTGCCTCTTTGGGGTGGGGATGGCCCCAAAATGGTTAGTCCTGGAATGGTGAGGTTTAGGGGGAAAAAAGATGCTCCCATGTTCCATAGTGGTCAGCTTCTATCCTAGCAACTGTTGGCACCCTGTGGTAACTATCCAGAAACAGAATGGAATAATACTCATCCTAATCATATGAAGGTGCAGATGGATGTGCTGAATATGTAAGTCTAGTACAACCATCCCATTTCTTGGCCTGGGAAGAGCAGCTACTGATCTATTGAGCTTTGGTCAGTTTGCACACTCACCAATATCTACAGCTAACAGCAGCTTTTCTGACTCCTCCAGAGTATTAATACCAAAGGAAGCTGGGTGAAAAGTCAAATGTTCATGTCCCAAATAAATGACACAGACCTGGGGTGATTGGGACCAAAGGGAAACTTTAGGTTCTGATTTTATATTTCAGAGAGAGGTGCCACAGCTGAAATGGAACATACAATCAGTGCATAAACTGTTGAGACTCAAGCTTATAATGCCACTCTTGGCCATAAGTACACAGGATTAATGAGGACCTCCCATGTAGAGGCATCAGAACTTTTATCAGAGCCCTTCTAACTCCGTGGTCTTCAACCTGCTTTTGTATCTGAAAGTAATTGTGAAAAATGGTATAGCCTAGCGTACTGGGTTGACAGCTAAATTTTCTGTAAGCTGGAACTGCTACGGATACCATTACTGGCCTAATATACATGCTTTATGTTTCCATACAAACCTTAGAGCCGCGGCTCTAACTTATTTATGGGAAATGTCTGCCACATATTTGGCAAAATCATTTAAGTCGGATTTAAGATTTCAATTCAAATGTATTTCTTTTCGATGGCTAGCCCAAGTGCAATGAAAACAAACTTGCAGCGGCGCGCACCACCAGCGAAAGATGTGCGGTGCCCGCCTGCACTAGAAGGTGGGAAGCTGTGAGACCTGGCGCTCCCGCGGCCACCCTTGTGGTCTGCACAGCCCAGACTTCCGGGGTCCCTCGTAGGACTAGGACAGCAGCTCCGCTCTCCTCCGCCGTGAAAGCGGCTTCCGGAGTGAGGCTCTGGTTCCGGGTCACTTTGACCTCTGCCCCCTGACAGGAAGCGCTGTTCCGGCTCCACCCCTGGCTCAGCCATTTCCGGCAGAGGGCGGGGCCGGCCCTCGTCGCTCGGCCCAGGAATTTGCAGCCCGCTAGGCGGGAGGTTTGACTCCGGCCGGGTCCCGGTGCCGCGCGGGCCGCCGTCGGAGCGGAAGGCGCCGCCGCTCTGCACCGTTCAAACCCTGGCTAACGAGGCAGCGCCTCACCGGAGGCATGGTCTTTATAGGTACTTTCAAAACTAATTTCCATACCTATCAGAATTAAGTGTCAGTTTTCAAAAAGATAACAGCTCAAGCTATGTTCAAGGTACCTACCTTGGGCATAAGAAAATACTTGTACACACATGAAATGTTCTGGGAGAACATAAAATTTCTGGGGAGGAAGAAATACATATTACTTTCATATTAAAAGGCAATATAAACGGAGAAAAAATAACTTTTAAAAGATTGCCAATAACTTGCCAGTGCTGAAAAGTATTTTCTCTTGTCCAGGAGTTTTCATGACCTTTGAATTTACACCCACCCCACCTCCATAAATTTAAGATGTTTTGGGATGCAAAGCACCACACAGTATGGCTCCCTAGTAAGAATATAGGTTAAAGTGTGTGTTTCATTTCTGACTTTATTTTCTTTTTTTCTAAATATACTTTGGAGATTCAGTGGTAGAGGAAGATATTTTTTTTTTAATGTATCTATTGATTTCAGAGAGAGGAAGGGAGAGGGAGAGAGAAACATCAACCCTGAGAGTCACTGATCAGCTGCCCCCTTCACGTCCTACACTGGGGACGGAGGCGGAACCGGGCATGCGGCATGTGCCCTGACTGGGAACCAAACCTTGATCTCCTGGATCACAGGTCCGTGCTCAACCACTGAGCCACACCCAGCCCGGCATAATTTCTGGCTTTATTTTACAGCCCAATTTTTGTTTTACTACTTTTTTCTTTTTTAAACCCTGTATGTATCCTTAGAAATAAATCATTTGGGGTACAAAGTAAGTTTTGAGTTCACACGTGAAATGTTATTTTTAAGAAAAATTTAACAGCTGTGACTACAATTAGAATGACTTTCTTGGGCCCTAATTACACAGACCATCCAATGTGAACCCCAGTTGGACTAACAGTGCTTTCCAAGGGCACTCTTTCAAAATACTGCCTTTCAAAAGCTCAGACTCATTTCAGCACTACAGGTTACCACAACATGACTGCTTACTGAAGAGCATTTAGAACTAATAGGGCAACCTGCCCTACTTTCAAAGTTACCAGACTGACTACAGGAGAAAACCCAGGGTCTTTCTTAACTCTAGAATAGATGAGGGCTGACACTCCATAGGCACTAGGACTTCTAGCAGAGGAGACAGCATTGCCTTGACCCCCTGAGCAATTGCCCCAGGGCAGTCAGGAAGGTACTGTTAAAGGACACTTGTACTCAAAGGTGGCAATAACATCCTGGGCTGAGGAGGTCACAGTCATGGAGGGGAAGCAACCAGGGATACTAGCTGTCCTGCAATGTACGGATTAATTCTTAACAACAAAATCTACCTTAGAACCCAACTCCATTTACATGTAATCAGTAAGTTTTTTGGGGGTTTTTCAGTTTTCATGTACTTCTGAGTTTTCCAGGATTCCAAATACTGTTTAAGTCGGGGGAAGCTCATACTGAGTTTTATTGAGAATATTACCAAAAATTTTTCATTTCAGAAAACTCTCTTGCCAATGGTAACACCTACTCAATAGAATCTGAGTTTCTTAAACAACACACTTTTATCTGTCTGCATGTATAGCAATTCAGTCCCAATAATTCTGTGTACAGGTGTAAACCTCTGACTTTACTGTACTTTTTAGTACAGTTGTGCCCAAGCATTTAGCTATTTAAATACATGCTATTTAATAATAAAGTACTTTCCTGTACCTCTGCCCTTTTATATTATAGTGAAGACCTGTTTAGGTAGGTTATATTATCTATGAATTTCATTTCAGGATAGTAAAGGGGAGGAGTTATGGTATTTGCTATAGAAAAGGCAAGTGTTGAATCTGACAGGGTTGAGAACCATCTGTTTAGGGGTCCAGAGATCATGTAAAAGCAGAATGTCATGAACACTGCTGTCAACCCCAAACCAGGCCCCCTGGAAACACCTCTCCCACCCCCATAAGACTTCTGTGCCTTGCTCATAGCAGTCACTGTATGGGCCCTCGCAGCCCATTCTTTATATGCCAGTATTGGTTTTCTGAATTGGGATGAGAGTTGTGGCCATAGTAAGGTTAATCATAAGTCTTTTAAGATTTTAAAGGCACCTAAAAGTTTCTAATATCCCCCCCCCAAAAAAAATTTACACCTATATATCTTGTGATCTGATCACATCTTGTGGATTCTTTGAAGCCACATTTAAAAAGAGATGGAAAGGGGAGGAAAATTGCACCTTTTGAAAATTGTATTATTACATTATTAGGGAATCCACCTCTATGACTGTCATGAAGCCCAGGCTGTGTTAACAGTGACAGGTTGGACTTTCTGGTTATAACTCCTGCCTTCTCTCTCTACCTCAGCTGAAAACAGATTCGTGAGGCCTCAATCCCTGCCCTCCTAATCCTGCAAGATGCCCAGGTCAACTACGCAGGAGGCTTTTCAGAGAAGACAACCCTCTACTTTGCTTTATGAGGCAGGTAGCAACCCCAAACTGTGGACAGGTTGGGATCTGCACACGCCTCAATGGAAATGTAGAGGAGGAGGAAAGGGAGCTAAGAATGGGATTGTCTCCTGTTTAAGTAGGCTAGGGTGGAAGGATAAGAAAACTTTACTCCATGGTTCAAATCCTTCTAGACCCAAACTCAATAGTAATGAACAGAGTCCCAGCTTAATGCCTCATCTTGGGAATTTTCAAGGTCTGTGCTCTGTGAAGGCCTTGAGTAGGTGAAAAGCCTAAGCTACCCATATTCCCCACACATATTCCCCTCCCTTTTTCTCTCCTTACTCTTCATGGAAGGTAGCAGAACTTTCTGTATTCAATCCTTGGGTCCAACAGAAATAACTTCACAGAGCAACATGGAAGAGCCATAGGCTCTCAGCAGGGCTACCAGCAGGCCCTGGGTTGGCTTTAGCTGGGCTTCACTCCACCAGTGTCAGGACACTCAATGATGTCTTAAGGGCTTTATACTGAACAGGGAAACAGTAAGGCTCACCTAATAGTGGAGCCAAAGAGCAACGAGAAAGAATTTTCCATCACTGGAAACACTGACATAGAGTCTAAACAGTTGGCTATTAGAGAGGGAAGCTGAACTAGAACAACGCTTAGGTACTTTCTAACTCTAAGACTGGTCATTCCCTGGCCAGGGAGCTAAGTTAGAGTATCGTCCTGATACGCCAAGGTTCGACCCCTAGTCAGGG